ACTACCAGGCGAACCGGGTGGTTATCGTGTCGAAGTTGGACCCCCAGGACAACCCGGGGCTCCAGGCAACCAAGGAATTCCTGGACATCCAGGTCCTCCAGGACCACCAGGAGAAAACGGCGCACCCGGCATGCCTGGCCCGGTGGGCCCAATGGGGCCTCCTGGACCACCAGGGCCTAATGGAGATCAAGGGCTACCAGGAAACGCTGGAGAAAATGGTGATTTTATTTTGAAGAATAATTTTTCAGTGAGGCAGAGAAGTTTCACAATTAGTACTGAAGTATTTAAAAATTTAACAGATAAAAGTGTTATAATCCTGTCCGTATTGCAGGGCCGAAAGGAAGTTGCGATCACTGCCCGCCTCCCCGTGTCGCTCCTGGTTACTGAAATTCCGAGCTGCTTCAGACTTTCTAAGCTGTTTCAAAAGCTTTTGTCACTAAAAGTAAGCGAATTGAGTCACGTCAGAGATATCTAGGCAAATTAAACGCCATGAACCAGGGCTAGTGGCATAAAGGAATTATGAAAACGTCAGTCGGGAAGACTCAACCTCTTGAGCGAGATGTGTATTTGCAATACTGGTTTGTATAAAGGACAAAAAATGATCTAATAAATGTGAACAAACGTTTTTACTGACTGAAACATAGCTAAATACTTCTCTGAGCTCGGTACAGGAGCACTTGAACAGCAGAAGTTGAAAGACAAAAAGGGTCTTTCGCGCTTATGAAAAGCGAATTTTTTAAAGTGGTCTTTCTGGGCTTAGAACCACGACCGTAGCGCGACTCGTTCAGCTTGGCTAAAACATACTTCACTCTTCTTACCATAAGTGCTATTGCAGTTTGGCTCATCCTTTGGAAAAGAACTTGAATTTTGTCTACAACCTACTTTCCATCTTCTATATACAGGGTTTTTACATCGGCTGTATACATCATTTGCCTATCCAAACATACTTATTTACTTCTTGTTCCTAAAAACTTGTAGTTTTTGCGAGGTCACATCTACGATGATGTGATGGAGAGCAGTTTAATCTTGCAATAGCAATCCTAGAGAACCTGGAGAGTTTAAAACTATTCTAAAACAAATCTCTCACTCGAAAAACATCCTCCTTTATCTTGACCGTTTCCAGTCAGCCCATAATGCCTAATTAATCAAAATCATTCAACTCCAAAAAAAAAAAAAAAAAA